CTCTTCGACGGGTTCCTCTGCCTCCCCAGGTGATGGTTTTGAGAATCCTTCATCCCATTCTTTATTTTCTATTTATCTATTTGTGGCATCATCAAATAGCAATTACACACACACAAACATACACAGTTCCTTGACCTACAACCATACTTGAGCCCAAAATTTATCCTGCTAAACAAGACAGTTGTTAAATGAGGTGTGCCTCATTTTATGACCTTTTCTGCTCCACATGTTCAGTGAATCACTGAAGTTGTTAAGTGAATCATGCATTCATTAAGCGAATCTGATTTCTCCCATTGACTCTTCTGATTGGAAGCCAGTGAACATCCTGCAATGGTCATAAGTGTGGAAAACGGTCATACATTTTTAATACTATTGTAACATCAATCATTAAACAAATGGTTTTAAATTGAGGACTACCTGTATATGTATGCATGTAAGCACTGTGTTAAGTTTGTGTGTGTGTATGTAAGAATGAAAGAAAGAAAATACAGTACACTCAAGTTGTGAATGAATTTTAACAATTGTTGGGAACCATGTTAAGTAGTTTAAGAGGAATCTCTGAAAACTTACAGAACACATATTATAGAGCACAGCAGCAACCTCAGCTTTATGAGTAAATCACTACTGCTCTGTGATACTGTTTTCCATCTCAGAAAGTTGATCCACAATAACAGCATGGGGAAAAATACTACAGGTTCTCAGGAAATGCAGGGCGGTTCACAAACCTAACATAATGACTCAGTTTCTCTCCCGAAATGAAATTGGAGGTAAAATAACATATTCATTGACGTTAATGGAACAAAAATTTAGCAGCTGTACCTTTTATCAATGTTTTTACATTTTTCATTATAACCATATAAAAAAACTAATTCATATACTGTATGACAGAATAAAAATAAAAATATTCCTGGAGAAAGGAGTTGACGTTACGACGATACGATGTGCGATCTCGGGGCTCCGATATTGCAGTCGATACTTTTGCCGCTGGACGGTCCATCTGGACCTAAACCGTTACAAAGAGACGGTGACAGGGAAGAGTATGTCTTGCTGATCGCAGGGACATCTCAAAGTCCCTGATTGATCCAAGAGAATCTCTTCTAGCTGGCAACAAAAAGCACAGCCTCAAGCTGCTGAAGTTTGGATATCTCCGCAATGGAAGGATCGATGGAAATTTTGCCTCTTTTTTACTTTTTAAAGTGAAAGTTTCGGATTTTCTTCTATTTCTTTTTTTATCTATGGATTAAATTATTTCCTCTACTTCTACAATATTGGTTGGGATTGATTTTTTGTTTTTATTTGGTTTCATTTAAGAACTTTATTTCTTCCAAAGCCTGAAACATAAAAGAAGATTTAAGAGGTGTATAAAGAAGGTAACAACATTAGAGGGAAAAGAAGGTACACTGCCACTTGGAGGTTGAGACCTGGAAACATTGCTTTTTTTTTGTTCCCTTTGATCATTTTGACCATGCACTTAAAAGGCTTCAGCTTGTTTATAAAGAAAGGCATGGATTGTTTACGCAGGTGCTCTCTGGATGCTTGTTGCTAGCTGGA